AATTCAGAAAAAAATGATAAAAGAGCAACAAAATTACTGTTAAATACATACATTCTCTTGGTTGGCCAAGTGCTCACACACTGCACACAGAACAACAGACAACTTGGCCCAGAAGAGCTGCTGAACACTGACAAAGCAATTATCAGAAATACGTCATATTTTGTTCCCATATGAACACTGGTTTTCATATATGACTGCTTAATAGAGTATCTATTACCCAAACATCCATTCAAACAAACCTGCTCATGCAAATTTCTGTCGAAAGCAAACATAAATGTCACAGACCAGAGTCATGGGCAAATACAATGTGATATTGTTATTCATGAACAATGCCTGATGTAAAATGCATCTCCTTATGGTTAGTAAGTGAAAATTTTTCATGACAATAACACATTGTAACAGCATGGTCTGAAATGATCTTATCTTAGATTTAACATTCTCCTTATCTGCGTTATTCTGGAGATGCCTCCACGACTGCATCTTCAAAGCTGCCAGTCCTCATGCTTTTACTATGTCTTACGTTATCTCATGTATCTGGAGATCTCCATCTTCTGACAAGTGAATCTCAGCTTCTCCTCAGAATAGAATATTCTAGACTTGGTCACTACAGAGGGATATATAAAATACAGCCTTCGTCTCATACCAACTTTTAGAATGACTCCAGTTCTTTTCATTTAGGAATCAAAAATAACAGAATGACAGGTTATCTATTACACATCTGCTATGACGGGCAAACTGAGAGGGCACTGTCTATGACTACAGAACAGAGCCTCATACACATCACGACTGTATTCTTTTTCTGTCCTCCTGTTCTGTCTCCAAGCACATGGTCTAAGTTACACTACTTGAGCAGCCACAAAATCTCTGACAGGTAGTGGCTTTTATTCAAGTTTGTTGCTAACCACAAACCATAGTACAAAAAAAACAGAACTCTGGTAAGTAAACCATGTAATACTTTGCCCTTCTCTGCACAACGTGCTATAAAAGAGTTGGCCAAATACTAAAAAAAAAGAACTAAACTATATATTTAGCATCATCGTATGGCATCTAGGGTAGCAGAAAGGTCTGAAAACTATAATGCCTCTTGTCAGCACTTAGGTTTCATTATTCAAGTCTTTTGTGGATGTGCTTCTAATGAGTTAAAACATCACCATTAACATAGTAAAACTTCAACACCCTAGGAAGACATTTCAAACCAGTGATCAGCATGGTTCTGTTCCTGTTAGAAATAGTACGCAGCGCCTACCAAATGGACCTAGCCAACTTATTTTAATCAGTACACGGGGCAAAACTGTAACACATCATATGCGCCTCCAAACCAGTAATGCTTTGGCAAAGCCGATGGTGATTTTGAGTCCACACTCTCCTTGTTCCCCTTAGGATAACTTACAACCCTTTCACATTTAAAGTGTACCTGGACTCTGTGATTTTTAAAAGCAGATGACTCACCCAACCTAGGAGCTTTGCAATGCTCAACATACTTGAGAAGGACTGCATTGTCATTATCTCTTGGAGGTACTATATGAGTTACTGATCAAATGACTTTAAATGCTGTTCTAGCTTAAGACTTTCTTGGATCTTTGGTGTAATTGTGTCCTAGAACAATGCAGTAAATCCACTATTTACCTGACTCCAGAAGAAAACTTTGGGAAAAAATCTTTGTGGTTTTGGAAGAAAAAAATAATGTTCCAGTATAAGAACCTAATTCCATTCATATTGATATATCCTATGCTCCAGGAGAAAAAGCATGGCTACCTACACAAGATGCACATACCTTATAGCACAATATGGATGCAAATTGACTATCTCATCTTCAATAATCTCTCTGCCATGTCTTTTCTTCAGTGCCGAAGGTTAGAAAACTATTTCCCCTCCAGAAGCAAAAAAAAAAAAAAAAACCAAACTTGAAAATGAAATGTCAAAATTGCAACCATTTGTATGATGCCTCATTTACCAGCCACAAAAACTCTTCTAGGCAACAAAACCCTTTTGAGCCTTTCTAATTATATTGAAATAGATTATTAGACTAAGATAATTTATTAACACCTCCAGGGAAAAGTTCATATGAAGACACTTTTAAGTTGGGGCCCTTCCTTGCAGACAGATTAATCAACTTTTAAGAATATTTATTTTACACTATCCTTTCTTGAAAGATTTTCCTTGACATTTCACCAGAAATATGCTAGGATTTTACTTCCTTTCACAGAAAGAAAAATAAAGAGGTCTTCCATGAGAAATTTAAAAAAAAAAAAAAAGAAGGTGGCATGGTGTACAATTTATTATTACCATCATACAATAAAATTTCTTCACAGGGAAGCATAATTTCTTTCTACGGCTGTTTCACAACTAACGTTCTCCCAATACAAATTGGTTAAGAACTTCTGCGTTTTATGAGTTTGATGGTTATTTCATGCTTAAATTCCAGTCTGGTGCTACTTTAGCTCAAGGAGTTTTCTAACTTTTAAAGATCATTAACATTCAAATGCTACCTGAACCCTTTAGGTGAAGGGGACCAAGCATGATGCACAGCCAGCGCATGAAGATCTTTCTATTCTCCCAATGAGAACACAAACAACTTACCTTGTTACACAAATGGCTATTGAAGTAGAGTAAGCTTTGTCAATTAATTTTTTTAAAACAACCCTAAACAACACTCTCTCTACTCAGTCTTCTCTGCTACTTGCTGAACTTCTGAGCTGGTGTGTATGGCAGTGCCAACCAAGATATGCATTGCCATACTTCACAGTACCACAGAATGGATGAGATTGAGAGGGACCCCTCGAGAACATATAACACTTGATGTTTACAGTTACTACCAAGGACTGGTATGCAAAAGGCTCTTGCTTACACTTGCTCCTGTGCCGACCAAGGTCCCTGCTAAATCTTGTGTACCATGTTGGGGGTGCAGAAAGTAAAAGTCTGCACCTGCAGGGCAGAGGGAACAGGACAGGTGACCCTGAACTGGCCAACGAGGTATTCCATCCCATATGTGCCATATTCAGTACAAAGCTGAGGGATCATCAGGGTCAATCTGTCTTCTTCAATGGCTGGCATCCAAGGAGGACTCTGTTCTGCCTTTGATCTTGGTACCAGTTCCAGAATCCAGCTCCTCAATCTGGTTCCCTCTACTGTTGAATGCAGTGTGAGACTTCCCAGTCCCTGCTCCAAAGCACCAGTGGTGAAGGTGATGTAATTGTCATACAGGGCGTTCGGTTTGATATTTATTGTGTATATATTTATATATTCTCCATCTTATTATTTTCATTAAAGCTGTTTTAGTTTTCTTTTCCAACCCCTAAGCCTTTCTCCCTTATTCCATTTCTTTTCCCCTTTGGGAATGGAGACAGTTTGGTTGTGAGTAGCCTGTCACTTGCCTAGTGCATGGCCCAACCTTAAACCCTGACACATCTTTCAAGTGGTCAGCCCCTCACATACACAGGACACTGATTCCAAAGTAAACATACACTGTAATTCCTTGCTGCCACAAGCAGACAGTAGAGAGGGGAGGTTTTAATTTTTTTTTTTTTTTTTAAATGTGTAGCTAGGAATGTGAGAAAGCAAAACATGCCCCACCTTTAAAAGGTAATATTTTACATCAATGAAGTTGTTTTTAAAGTTGTTTTGCCAAGGTTTCCAGAACTGAAAAAGACAGCCTACTGTCAAATATTTGTGTCTTAAAGAAAAAAAGTGTAAGAGCACGTGGTTCACAAAATGCTCTTTTCTTTTTTTGATAAAATACAGACATTGTTTTGTTTATGAATGCTCATTTATCGTGAGACAATTGTATTTATAACGTAAAACAACAGCCCATTGTCAAATTCACCAAAATGATGTTTTAAGGACAAGACAACCACCATGTGAAATGTTTTGTTCCTAGCTGCAACATCTGAGTTCCTTTATGCCCATAACAAGTTTGTTGCCATAATCTGACTCTCAACACAAGCTACACTGTGCCTAAAACCATTTTTAATTCCTTCAGTAAACTAGTCTGAAAAATCTAGGTGTAAAATAAGAACTGGCAATAATTAACTTTACATAAATGGTCCCAAAGATACCAGAACCTTTACTCACCACTGTAATACAGCACAGCTGCATCTACTGACAACAAAACATTGTTAATCAGGCCTTTTGTTCTGCCTCAACAAAACACAGAAACAAAAGCAGCAAAACTACTATGCCACCTTTTCTGTCTTTTCAGTTACCAGGTGCCATAATATTCCCTAGCACAATCAGAAGTTCTTGTGATGAGGCTTAATCATTTGTCTGCAATTTGCTGAATTATCAACCAATCTATCACTTATCAACCAATCTATCACTTATCACTGCAGTTCCACATGCTTTACTTTCCTAAGAGGACTCCCAAAATGGACTTCATTCATCTCAAAGAAAGCACTTAAACACTTAATCGTAACGATTTTCACCCAACTCGGGTGGTGGCTGGAAGGTAGAAAGAAAATGAAATCAAACTGCATACATAGTATGATGCAATAAAGCTGTTAAGATATCTATTTAAGTACACTTCCAATTGCAAAACCTTGGATTGGGATGAAAATATTTCAATCTGACATTAGGGTTCCTGAACGCTAATCTGAAGTTCAGAACACACTGAACCACACTATCGAAAAGACAAACAAGAACCCAGTTGCTTAAGAACAAATTCAAATTTCTTTCTACTCAGTTAACAAACTAAAGAGCACAAGGTAAGTACCGATGATGTCAAAGAAGACTAAACTTGAATTCATGACAGAAGAACGTTTGGAAGTAGCTCTGCAGCAGGCAACCTGCATGCTGACTAGCAGAGCAAAGTCAGATGAGGCACAGGGGTGGGGGGTGATCAGAACTGTAGCTGCTGATGGAAGACGTGTGCTGACAGTTCATAACAACGGGTTACTGCTTTAGTTCTCAGTGCTCCCTGAGTAAATGTGGCCCTGTTTATTTATTTGATATTGAAAGCAACTGTTGCTATTTCTTAAAAAAAAAAGAAAAGAAAAGAACAAGTGTGTGGAATATTGTTTACTGTTAATCAACACATCTTAACCAAGGTTTTCACAATACTTGAAGATACATTTAAGTATACAATAGTCTCAATCACAAAAAACAAGCCAAACAAATAAGCTACATAAGGCCTTAAAATCAGAAGCACAGTGTGTATTGTTGGAATATTACTTTGTTTACAAATAGGCTACATATACTTAATTTTATTTTTCATACTTTTATTCACGCAAAATGCATTCAAGGGAAAGGCAACTTAAAATTTATTTTACTATGAGTTAATAGAAAAATGTCAACATTCTCTTCTTGCCCCTCCCCCCACCCATCCAGGTGTGATTAGTAAAATTTCCATACAATACTCAAAAAACAGTAAGCTTTTACATTAAACATCCAAAAGTAAGCTGGAACAGACAGCCATGAACTTGCAATTAGTTTATTACAGAGTTGGATAAGCTTCCTAGTTCTCCCTAATGAAATACTTCATCTCTAGGCCATCAGTGTTCAAAACAGCACTGTCCACAAAGCCTTTTAGGTTCTAAAAGTCTCACTGGTTTCAAGGAAGTACTTGGTGGCCTCAGTAGCAATCATGTGAATGATATTTACATTACAACAACGGTAATTTGCAGTATTATTTTGGCAAGATTAGGACTGTTGAAAAGATGAGTGAGTACATTTGTTTAACCTGAAAAGTTAGGGACAATACAAGAACAAAATAACTGAAGTAAAACCAAGCACAGAAGATATGAAAAATACAGAAAGAGCGAACTCTTTTGATCCCCTCCCTTATAACAGGGCATAGTAATTTCCAGTGACTATTCTTTCTACATACATTACTATTTGTTCAAATTTCCTGGCTACTACATTTTTACAGAACACCTGCTTAGAAGTCTGTTTCTTAATTTACACCTGTGCAACAGAGTAAGTCACAGTACATTTTGAGATGCTTAAAAAATATTTATAAACTTGTTTTTCATATGCTAAAGCATTTGGCAACACCCTTACAGCATTTGATTTTATATAACTGGAATTTCATACAGTACTTCTTGTGGGTTTTTTTGTATATCTAAGAATGAAAAAAAACTCACAAAGTAATATGAACTGCCAAGCTTGACTGCCAGATCATGTAATTCCAGTTTATAATACAGGCGTTAAAACCTTCATTAATTATGTTGACAAATCATTAGCTGTACATTTAATAAAGGCAACCAAGATGATTTGAAAACACAATCTTCAGGTTTTATGTGTTATCAAGGTGTGCAGTTCCACAGTGAATTGAAAAAGCATATAAATATACAAAGGAAATTACAAGTTCACCAGATCCTGAGACACAAACTGTTTCAACCTTTCAAGGTACTGTCCATAGAGTTCCACATCATTATGTCCTGCTCCTTCTACCCACAGTGGTTCTACAGGTCTCTGGCAACGCTCAAATAACGCTAGGCCATGTGAAAAGTCAATTACTTCGTCTTCAGTCCCGTGGATTATTAACACAGGAGATGTTATTTTAGAAATTTTGTCAATGCTGTAAGAAAAAGATCATAGCTATGAATACAGTGAGCTTCAGTAAATCTTTTTTTTTTTTGAAAGACCAGACTGTTAATTTCACTTTTTAATTACAAATTGTAGTTTTAATGATTCAATTCTGAAGTTGTTTAAATCTTTAGAAAAATCAGACCTTAACTCTGTGGAAGCCACTACAGCAGCACATTTAAGCCACACAAAAAAAGAAACACCACTGGAAACTATTCAGATCGAGTAACAGTGAAATCCATCCAAAAGTGGTATTCATTATCATGTTCACTTCAAAAAAATCCAAGTCACTGGACTGATGAAAATATTAGTTTGGAGGTTTTCAGTGAAAAAGTGCTTACCAGAAGTAAAATTCTTTAATTTTAGCACTTAAAGTGTGGCTAGCTATGGGGAAAAAAAAAAAGTCTTTGAGGTTATATGATCAAAATACAAGTAATTCTTTGAGACAAACGTACCAGTTTTTAAATGACAACTAGTGGCATAGTACTGAAATACGTGACAGGAGTTTTCTTCCGTTAAGGTTTAGTTAGTTTTCCAGTTTTTGCTACTTACAGGAACATACGCAAAACAGTTTTTTCACTGTTACTCAGATTAACAATTCATTGGACTAGAATCACTTGTTAGAATTAGTGATCTTCCAGGTTACATATAAGAAAACTAATCACTTCTCCAACAGATACCCACTGAAATGATCAGACATGTGAAAAACCTAGATTTTAAAAAGTTCTGTAAACTTCAAATCAAATGTTACTCCTTGTTATTCACCCTGATTTTTCTCCAACTATTCTTTTTTAACATTTCAACGTCATTTCAGAGAATCTGCCGTATTACTTGTTCCCCTGGTCTAAAACTTCAGTCAGAGAAAAATGGGCACATAATACAAAATCCTACAACTTACTTTGGGAATGCATCAAAGCAGTAGGTCTTCTTTGTATCAGGAAAAGCCACCCGCATTCCTGAGGTCAGTGGAGAATGGAGAATCACAGCAGCACTTTCATACCTAGCAGCAAGATCCACAGATGGTACTGTTCCTATACTCTGGCCATATATAATCACATTTTCAGGGCGGATTCCGTACCTAGGAAATTAAAAATGTTAACCAAAGAGGCACAAAGTGAAACAAAACTAACTATACAGCAAGGCAAAAAGGGCATTTCTGAAGATTAAAATTTCATCAACCGGAGCTGGCAGAAGAACATGTAATTATACTCTATAATATTCCTGTCTTAAAGGGATAATTATTTACTCTGTATTTGCAGTCATTTTATTTTTGCCTTATGCCTGAATAATATTGAAATATGGTGTGGTTTTTTTAAATACAGATTTATGAATGCAGTTGTGACTTGCATACTAGTTGAAAGCCTTTACTGGTAACTCTAGTGGACCCACAACAGAAAACTGATTAGAGCCTTACCAGCTCTACAGTTATCATTAAGAGGAGCATAGTCAAATCTGAAAAAAAAAAAAAAATTGGTCAGCTTTACTCTTCTGATACGTGATAAAATTACAAGATGGTAACACTGCTCAGCAATTTAGTGTATCCTAAAGCAAGCCTATATCGGCAGTGGTCAGAATATTATGTATTCCATGTTATAGCTGAGATACTTCCTTCTTATCACAGTTGATTTGCCATGCAAGCTAGCATGAAGAGTACGCAGCCTAACCCACAATTAAGACAGCCCAACAAGCACTACAAAATTAAACACGAAGCCTCCCTCCTAATAAGATGAAATTACTCACTTTTTCTCTAATTTACTGAAGTAAACAAGAGTCATGGAACATCTAACTAGCACTTATACAAATCAGACGTCATATTTTTCTGCATTAGTGTGAAGACAAAGCAGCTGGTTCCAAAGCAACACTGGAAAGGCCTCCAAGCAGAATCTTACGCTGGCAAGCACAATGCCCACAGCAGAAGTGAGCTGCTGATATATTGGTGTATACTAATAAAGTACTCGTAGTAGAGTTTCAGACTGCAAAAGTCTACCTATCTGGGTATTTTTAACTTGTTTGGGAAAGCAAATACTGTAAACAAGAAGAGATACTGCACCATACTAAAAAAAAAAAATTAAATCAAACCTCGTTCTCATTTATTATCAGAAGCTTGTTTAGCTTTTTGGGTTACAGAAAATAAGCTTAACACCACTGTGGAACAGCATGAGGCATTTAATGTTCACCAACTATCATCCTAAAAGGACCGACAGTCAACTAGCTGTTGTCAGCTGAAGGAAAGTGCAGCCATTACTTCTTCTACAGTAAATGCATGCATCTTTTCTGTCAAAGCTAGGTACTGATATGCACAAAGGAGTTCTCATATAAGTACCTTTCACACACCTCCTGTAAGACCAGGGAAACTGAAGTAACGAAACACTCCACTATCTTATCTACATAGGTCACCAAACACTAAAACCAGTGAAGTTTAATAGCCTCAAAATCAGGAACATTAGGAAAGAAGAAGTTTCACATGTACCAAGACTTTCAAATTACCAACCAAAAAAAAAAAAATAAATCCACAACTGCTTTTCAGTAAGACACAAAATGTGCCCTGTTACATCAATATGCAATAAACAATAATAAAAAAATCTAGTAAGATTTCAAAAAAAAAAAATAAAAACCACATTTGAGTATTACTAAATTTTAATTATCACTAGCAGAACTCATTAGCTGCTCCAATAAGCTTTCTAAATTGGGGCTAAAATCCACCATTCACAGCTAACATTTTCTATTTATTCATCAATTTATTTAAATTGTGTTCTGTTAGAGTGAAACAAAAACTTGAAAGTCTTAGCACAGATACATTCATAAGGACTAACTTTATTTTGACTACTTAATTACCATCAGGGTTTCCTAGAAAGAATTCCATAATCACGTTAAGATTTCTAGAACAGTAAGACTCAATCATCAGCCTACACCTACAGGCAAACCTGACACCTCAACAATTCTGAGAATAAAAAAACCTCAAACATTCTAATTAACAAAGATTTTCTCAGAATTCCAACTCACAAACATACAATAAATTAAAGCTTTGAAAGGAAAACAAATGTAAGGTCTTCACTATTTCTCTGTCTTCTGAAACACCTGAAAAGAGCATAGCACATATCCTTTTATTATTAATATCCCAATTCAAACTATTACAAATCACATTTGTGCATTCTGAAAGTACAGTATAGCCTTCTATCCCTGAAAAAAAATATTTCACATTAATCTTGGCACCATTAGTATGTCATGGAGTTTGCAGAGCACATTATGACATAACATAGTTCTCAAATGAAAAACCGTACAAATTATCACACTCAAAATTTCCTCAGGTATTGAGCTTTACGAGATGCAGACCATTTGCACAGATATTTAAAGCAACACTTAAACCTATATTTTGGAGGATATATTGTCCTGTTTCTCGTTATATTCTTCCCCTGTTTTTGGATCCAAATCCTTCAGCCCTCCACCCCCCAACAAAACACAGCAAAACAAAACAAGAAGCTTGGAAACCAGAGAACAACATCTGCTGTGCCTCTTAAGCTGAGCAGCCTTCTGAAAAGTTCAGGAAAAAGGAAGAGCTCCACTGTCCCTTAACTCCACTCAGACAAAGTGTCACTTTTCAATCTGAAATGGAAGAGCTGATGAAAAGATAACTGTTGGTAAGTTCCCTAGTCATAAACTCTGTCTACTCATTTTAACACTCCTGTAAACTCCAAGTAAATTTCATGAAGAATGGCTCAATGGTTGGACTTGATGATCTTGGAGGTCCCTTCCAACCTAAAGGATTCTATGATTCTAAGTTCTGAAGAAAGTTATTACTTGACTACACATGGGGTCTTCCAAATGAGGAAATGTCAGATCAAGAAAAAAGTGGCAGTGATGTTGTTCTCTTAATCATTGTGTTAGAATTAGAGGTCATTCTGAGGAAGGGGAATGTAAACATTAGAGAGCAATATGCTGCAAATACCTGTTCTGGTGACAAAAAGCTCAAAGACATGTTGTAAAAACTATTGATACCTTTGAAAGTGTATTATTTTGACCACAGGAGTAATGTAAACACTATTGTCTACTGAAGTAATTTTAGGTAACTTGTGTCAGAATAGACAAGAGTTCAGTTTGTTGGTGGTGGTAGTAGTGGAGTTTTTTTATGTTTGGGTTTTTTAAAGCCATAATCCCCAGAAGAGACCTTAGAACAAAATCTTAAAAGTAGCTGTGCACAGATGTACCTTCTTGGAGAAAGCACTCTTCCTCAGGGTCAAGTTATTCTGGACTGAATCTGGCATAAAACTTAGATATCTTCCACGGTTTAACGGCTGCCCACATTTTTCTCTTTCCCATAGCAACTGAGATTTAAGTTCCTTTCAACGCCTGATTCATCCTTTATGTTGATACAACTAAGGGCTGCCTGCCTGGAAAACACATGGGACCTGAAGAGCATTTTTTACATACAACCAAATGTACCTCTGTTGACATAAGCTTGCTAGCATCTACACAGTGTCTAAGCACTCACAGACTTCTGCCCTATCATCCTGCTAAGGGTACAGGCTAAACTCCACTACAAAGCTAAACTATTGCCAGACAGAAGAGAAATACTTTCCTGTTTGTGTCTTCGGCCACATGGTGAAGCCAAATGAAGGGCAACAACTAGTTTAGTAAGTTAAATTAATCTCTTTTGGGAGTAGAGGAGCAGCTACTTTTCTGCCTCTGTGCTGGCTGCCTTCAGGGCTAGGCACGAAGTGAAATGCTTCTCTGGTGCGTTGAAGGATGGAGCAAGCCAATGTATCAGTGTAACCATGTAATCAGACCACTCTCTAGAATCAGAGCCCAGGCTAACACAGAGTGACTAATGAAGATGCTAACAGAGGGTGACTAATGAAGCCTGTATTCAATTCTGCAAGCCTGCATATGTTGATTGGATATAGATCAACACATCTCTTGTAAAGGAGGCAACCCTGAACACTCCTGCCTGATCTTCTAATCTTCTGGGAGGAAAAGAAGAACTGCTAAACAACCACAAAATGTTCTTTTTTTTCCCCTTTGTGACAAACTGCACAATGTGCCATAGCAGAACCTCCTTCACAGTTTCCTTTGTATTTTGTCTCTGCAACAAAACCCTTTCTGCACTCTGCTACACACCTATCTTAGTGGCAGTCCATCTCTTTTCTGCCCCTCACTCCTCCTCCTTTTCTTTCCATAGAATCAGAACAGTTTGGGTCAGCAGATGATCTAGTCCAGGCCCCACCATAGGCAGGGATATCTTCGCTAAATAAGGTTGCTCAAAGCCCCATCCAGCCTCACCTTGAACACTTTAATTGGATAGATATCATAAATCACATACCTTGGGTACTCACCGTATTTTATACTTTCATTTGATACATCATGTTACCATGATGCACAACATGCCAACTACAAAATGCACATCTGGCTGTAACAAGTGGGGACTGTTTTGTTTGGGTTTTGTTTGTTTGTTTGTTTGTTTTTGTTTTTGTTTTGTTTTGGTTTTTTTTACATCAGCCACCTTTAACAACCAAATACCAGCTGAAATTACTATACTATACTTGCAGAATCTTACAGTACCTGTCATTTTGCCCTTGATATACTTAAGGGAGACAAAACAATTTGTTTTTACTTCTGAACTACTGCTGTTAATCTGGAAGACTTGCTCACTTTACAATAATGAAGCAAAGCATGAGTAAGATGAACCTTAGGAAGGTACACTTTCAGTAGTAACTCTCAGGCTCACACTAAGGAAGAGGTTCAGTAGATGCTCTAAAGATACTACTGTTTGTGAAGCTATTGCAACACCCATTTAACCAACTGACAAAATTGCTCAAAGCACATAGAAAAGGGGGAACATCCTGAGGGAATTTTCAATGCACATTTCAGAACCTTTTCTCATCATGCACTTAACATACGTAATTACAGCTGCAAATCGCAGAACATGGAAGGCATGAACATCCTCCCCACCTTTAACTATCAACATTCCAGGCCACGAATAAACTCTTGAGTGTACTGCTCTTCCTCAACTCTGATGCACATTCCCCTTCTTGTTTATACAATACATAACATTGCTAGAAGAAAAAGGGAAATAGGTTTTATGACAGAAGTCCACTGATAATGTGTGTTGAAAGCATCACACTGCACCCCCTCTGCCCCTCTCATGATGGTTTGGCCATTTCTAAACCTAGTTGTAGTACCTAGGTACATTTGCTTTATTGGTTAAGATTTCTCTTCACAATAAATTGATCAACTTTTTTAAACGCTCAATTTCTCTCCAAATATTCCAAGTCAAGGCACCTCAAATTCTAGAAAAAAACCCCAAACCCTTACTTCTGAATAAAGGGGGGAAAAAGTAATTTGTGATTTCTCAGAAAAACGCCCAACTGGATTGGGTATCATTCCTATACTGGGTCAAACTGTGGACATTCTGTCCATCAGTCTGATGGTGAGATTCACCCTTCAATTTTTCAGTTGTTATACAGTCCATGATAACCAACAATGAAGAGGCTGTATGGCTTCTTAAAGGTGAATCTGACCATGAAGCAATCCCAGAAAGTCTTCAAGTCTCCGAATGAGTGCCACTTGCCCTGCATTTGCCTGAGGCTGGTTAAACCTTTCCACCCTTCCTAGGGTGTCATCAAAGGCCTTGAGAGACCAGACAGCAGAAAATAGGCGTATCCCAAAATTACTCCTGGCATTTCAACACTTTGTAGCTGTGACAGCCTGAAAAAGAATGTACGCACTTGCAGGTTTTATATAGTCCCATGTACATGAATATGCAATAACGTGCAGCTTTCCTAAACATCATGGCAGTGAATCACCTTGCCTTCTTCCACAGTCAGCATAGCATCCACATGGATAGCTACTGCTTCCAATTAAAATACTCAAAGCAGGGAAAGGGACACAATCCAGCATCTGCATCTACTGTTTACCTTTCCTCATCTGCCAAATTAGCATTCTGTATTCATTTACATGAAGGAAGTGGTGACCAACCTCACCATCACCCTCAATACTAGTTCCAGGCTATCTCACCCTAGGTGTCAGATGTCACAATCTTGGGACAGTTGTGCCAGTTTACAGATGACTATCTGGATTTTCCTTCCAAGATACCAAACTTAACACAATAACACATCTCCACCACAAGCAACTGTGTTGACTGTAGAATGAAAACCATGACAGAATTTCATTTACCCCAGAAATGTCTTTTAATATTGGGCTCTACAAACCCATTTTTCAGAGTGGGGAATGCGGGGAGCTGTGGTGGCTGTGATCAACCTCCAGCAAAGGTAATTTCTCCATTCTTTCCTTCATCCCTTCATAACTTATGAAGCACAGGTTAAAAAATCTAGGATCCCTTTCTTCATCACATCAGCAATAATTTCAAAGGAGTTACAGCTATACTTTCATCTATCCTACACACAATTTGCTGAATTAATTTGCTTCTGCAGAACATTTACATTGTAAACCATTATAGACGGTACCAGTGTAACACTAACAAAACAGGCTATGCTAGAAAAGTGAATCAATGCTGTGGCAAATGCTCAAAGGTTCTATTCTGGTCAAGATATATAATTAATTATTTAAACATAGCTGAACAGTGTCTCAGAATACCAATACCGTGGACTTGTAACTAAACTGTGAGCCAGTATATGCAGAGCCATGTACTGAACTTCTGCCTGCTGCATTCAGATACAAGCATAAGACTGGGTCTGCCAGTTGGAAAGTTGTTAAAAGTACCACAGTGGAAGCTAGTAATGCCAACCACATTTTACTTAACAGAAAAAATTCAGTTCACATTTGTGAAATCCACAAGTTGGGCAGACCAATCCAGGGTCTATGCACTCTGCAGAATGATTAGTTTCCAAAGAAGGTTTTGACAAAAAAAAATAAACACAGAGAGCAAACAGAATTGAGGTAAGGTCACTCCTGAATGGAAGAGGGGAAAAGCAGAAAAATGTAGTATGCATTTAAAATTTCCCCTGACAATGTCTGTTCAGCATAGGGCATGTTCAGATGGGATATTATAATGAAGTTGTAACCTTATTTGATTGAGGAAGGTACATTATGCATTGTTTGAAAAAGGAGGTGACAATTCAAGTTGCATTCACATTTCCCATCAGATTTTCAATCTGAAATTTGTCAGGGGGAGGTAAGACAATAATTACAAGTCAGTTCACAAAACACAGCCTGTAAACCGACAGACAATTTTCACCATCTAGTTCTTTTTCCATTTCTGGTACATGTAAACAATTCAGACTGTCTTCCACATTTTTCACAGATCATGTTATGTTTTTGGTCAATGTTACTGGGTGTTTCACCAAGTAGCTGTCTTCCAGATCATCTATCAACCACAAACCAGTCACCAGTGCACCTGTTACAACTCTTAGCTTATAAAACAGTCATCTAGTTGTATCTTAACTTTCCACTGTAATCAAAAGAAACGCCTAAACCTAATCTAAAAACACAGTACACATGGTTTTGAATGTATGAGGCTGAATACCTATTCCCTTGGTTGTATAAGGTTTATGATAATAAGTGTTGCCCCTGTTCTAATACGTGAATAACATATGCCTCTTTAAAAAGTAGTATCACAGATTTATTATAATGTAAAAGAAATGCAAGACAATATGTGTATTTAAAAGACTGAAAATGGATAATCCACTCCAAAGTAATAGGAAAATATTTACTATTACACTGATCAAGTTCTAAATTCACTGCAACAGCTACCAGGCTTCAGTATTTAAAGAGTCTTTACACCTGCCCTTACCTTGTTATACCCCTGAGTTTATTAAAATTTACTCAAGTTGCAACAATCAAGCCAAAACATGCTGCTCTACATTAAACTCAGGTTTTTGGTGCAAAATACATGATATGATGGGAATTTGTCTGATGAATGTCTATTCTTATGATTGCACAGTGTTTGAAAAAAGCCATATTATTGTAGCTTGGGTACTTGTAACACAAGAATAATATTGCTCTAAATGGCACAGATCAGGGTGAAAAATGCTCTCAAATTTAAGTGAGTATTCAGTACGGTATTTATGTGGTGTCTAGGATTCTTACTTGTATCAGAGAATGCCTCCAGAGTCTTTTACCTTTACTATTTTATCTCCCTAAAACCAGAAGGTTAGAAAACAGAAATTGCTTAAAACAATATTCTTCCAATTTTCATGTTTTTTTTCCCTTGCTCATTTTTTATCTGTTTGAGATAATACTGTTGAATCAAATTCCTGGTTTTTGTTCCCACCATAATGTATTTACATAGATCCACTACAACCTCTCTCACATATCTTGTTTTGCTACGATAAAAACATCTTTTTGTTTTTTATAGAAAACTCTCTCTCAAAATGCTGTAGCTGATAGTCTGAGTTCTGAAACAAACATGATCTGAACATAATACAGAAAAGTGTCTCACCATGAAACTCTTAGAGTTTCACTGCTTCTGCCGCCCCCCCCCCAAAAAAAAAAAAGCAGGTAATGGAATTATCTGGAAAATCAACCACTGTTTCCTCTCACCCACATCATACCAGTGGCTCAGTTACCAGGGAATCAGTTACTACAGATTTTTCCTACATTCTGAGATTCCGAACCGAGAAATCCCAAGATGTGATAATAAGGATTATCTTCTAATCATTCAACACTGAAACATACCTTATGAAATTTCATCCCCTTTCAATTTTTCTAATATATACTACATACTGATCCTGCTCAATACTAACAATACTTTCAGCATAAGGAACTACCCATCAGCTTGGGTATGGGTCCATCAATCCTAAAGTAAACACTTCTGTTTAAACTACCAATGTAGATTAAGTACAACCACTTGAAAAGCATGCTGTAAAAGAAAAATAGTAACTGATGTCTTACCTTGTCCTAAGAGCTACCCAAGCAGCATCAATGTCAGCATAGAGATTCTTCTCTGTTGGCTTTCCAGAACTTGCACCATATCCAGAATAATCATATGAGAATATGTTGCAATTAATCCGTGAACCCAGTCCTATGTAAAAGCTGCTCATCTGACCTAAGTCAACAGCATTCCCGTGTGAGAAGAGCAACGTGTACTTGGCGTTAGGTGAGCAGCGCACAAACATACAGGCAATCCTGTTACCTTTACTTGTTCTAGTCATGAAGCACTCAATAGCATCTTTTTCTCTAGAAGAATATTGCCAGTCTGCTCGCTCTGAGAGATGTAAAGTCCAGCGACTACCACTCTCATCGCACATCAGAGTGTATGTGGGGTCAGGAGGTAAGAATGCCAGTTTGGAGGCAATTCTCCCTGGGCATGGTGGACAACAGAACAGGCAACAGAGTTCACTAAAGGAAAGATTATTCATCTTCTAGGCTGAAACAGGAAGAGAGAATGGTATCAGTTTCTAGTCACAATTCAGAATTATATAAAACACAAACTCACACATGGAAAACATACATGTAAATACTCTAAAAAATAATACATAATTTTAATTGAAACATTTAACAAAATGTAGATTAGATATAAAAGTAAATTTCTATATGATAGTGTAGTTTACATTATTAGCTACTTTGGAATGATCATATTAAAGATGAGTGACAAGGCTAAAGCCCTGCCAGATATTAGAGCCAAAATTATACTACCCACTGAAGGAACAAGCACAAGCTTTGGAGTTTCTCTGGAGGAGATGAAGTTCTTAATCTTAAACCCTTAAGAGAAGTGTTCATCCCACTGACAAATCCATATGTTGTACAGAACAGTTGTGTTGCAGTGTTTGCAGGGTATTAAGGCTAGGCAGACCTCCACAGCCAAACAGAACTACAGTGTTTTCCAACTACAGAGAATGGGCAGTGCAATCGTGAGTTATAGGCTCCTGCAAGCAGTACCAGCAGTATGAAAGGTGCACAAAGGTCAAAACTTAGAAGGGGAAACAAGATGGTTCTGCTGGCTTAGCAAATGATCCACATACTGGCTGACATAAATGTTTCCAAATCCTTCAAAGAAATTATTAGCTAAAATTTCCTGTATTGCACAAAGGAATTGTGATTAACAAAACCACTATTTTTATTCCATGCTTTAACAGAAAACATCCCAAACCAGATGCTCTATCACAGGTATTTGTCAAATCAATGCAAACTGTACCAATTCAAAGCACTGGTTAACAGAGTGAGAGGAGACAAAAAAACAAGCACAAATACAGCTAACTCAAGTTGGATAAAGACACAGTTGCCCTGAAAAGCAAGCATTGTGTCACCTTAATATACGGCATGGAGAACGGGGAAAAAAAAAATCCTGTTGTGACAATACTTTTTCTCAGAGATAAGAAAAGTGATGAAATCTGCCAAGAGCCTTACTGAAAAACAGCACAACCAAAATAAGTAGTTTACACTACTTTCCTTGTGTATAAAGCATCTTGACATTTCAGCTTACTTTTCCATCCCAAATCCATCTACAGGTCTCGAGCTCAGTTCCTGCCAGGCCACTGTGAACAGAAGCACTCTTAACAGTTTCTTGTACCAGCTTTTACTGCTAGATCCAAGTTTACAAATGATACTAAAACGAGCTGATTTTGAATGTCTACAGTCCCATGTCATTGCAGAAATACCAGAGTAATCCAACAATAAAATCCTACTGCTAACTATACCACTTGGCAATTTATAGATCATATTTCAAAGCTTGTCTTCTATCTTGGATACAAACATAGTTTTCATGCCTTATAAATTTCTCTTCAGAAAAGCTTCAAGGACACGGCTATAAAAACTGTCAAATATAGATGGCAGAACAACTATCTGTATTTTGGATGTGTGAATGCTCTCTTCCCTGTTGTAGAACATGAATGCGAAGTTACGCAGAGTATGACTGTAGAGTAGTAAACACAGGCACAGCAAGACAGTCTGATCAACACCATGAGCATTTTTGGAATACTACTCCTTTGTGCGGCACGAAAACCTTTTATTTTTTTCCAGAGCTGCTACAGCCAAGTACTTTTCACCTCAAGTCTCTAATTTTCTTTGAAATAGAGGGAAATCACAGTTTCTTAGATGTTGGTGACCAACACTACCCATTCAGAGGAGATGTCAGGAAAGGTGTACCAATTACCTCTCATAAAAAGGCAGATTTTGTCTTAAATGAACATCCTGAATAAATGACCATATTCCTGCTAGTTAAAGAAACAACCTCATGTATTTATGCAATCAGCACAAATAGTCACTCAAATTCGGAATAGCTCCTCTCGTCCCTGTCAGGTGAGATTACCTGGACATTAAGTTTAATTTTAACCTGCAAGTCAGGACAAGAAGTAGCAGATGTTTATGGAAGAGATCTAGGGACTGGTAAAAGGCTTGGGCTGTGTTACACACAGGAACAACTCAAGACTTCTTTTTCCTTCTTTACTTCTCTCACAGCTGTAAGCACTGAAAAAGCCACTTCTCTCGCCTCTAGTTAGAAAGTTTATGTTCATAGCCCAGAGAAACTGCTCTGATGCCTCATCAGGCTTTTTTTGGCAAGAAGGGCTTATGACCCAGTATTCAACCACACTTCTATCAGAAACTTTTCAACCAATCTGTTCCAATTAATTTTCTCACCCTTTCAGACAAGCTGGAAGCTAAAGCAAGATAATACAATTTTTCTGTGTAGGGTGGGGAAAAAAATAAGGAATTATTTTACATGAAAAATACAAGCATCCAAGTGAGGTAGAAATAGCCTGTTATGGCTAGAAAAGACAGATTGCACTTTATTCCAGGACCCACCAACAGCTACGTAATTTCTTACTTGCCTCTCAATCCACTTGTCAGAAAGTATTTTAAAAAGGGTTTACATTATTTATAACTATAAACAGCCCAGCAACACTACAAATATGATCTCACTCTGAAAATATTTGCTATTTGTTGAAGTCATTTCAGAAGGCTGGAAGCTGGCCTGTGGAATTCATGCCCTGGGCAGTACTGCAGTAACCACAGCTCATCAGCTGAGGTGGTACAGCGCCCCAGGATAGCTTAAACGTGCTAAAACTGGGCTGTTGCCACATATGGCAACTGACTTATGCTGAAGACCATGCCCAAAGAACTATCTATCCCCTATACTAGAATGTAATATAGACTTTATATAACATCCACTTAATCCAATGGAAACTCTGTCTACTGAAAGTAGGGATTCTGATTCCAGACCCATTGCTGACCATGATTTAGACAGAGAACAACTCTTTTCTTAAAACAAACACAGCTTTCTTCACTCAGGAGACCCATGGAAAACAGCAGACCCCTAGCATCACTAACTGAACGAATCCAACACAAAACACCTACTGAACTTCCTCAGGAGGATACCTTCAGCTAAATGCAAACAATGCTGCCATTATACTGGAACTGGTTTGTCATTCATTGTATTCACATGAGTGTGTTCTTAACCTCCGGATCTGGAACAGAACCAGGATGTGAGAGAGTCTCCAGAGTGTATACAGTGATTCTGATATCACTGTTTAAAAGTGCAACTGAATCAGCACTTCAGCCTAGTAGTTATCCACCAGATGTTATGTTAACTTCAACTAAACAGGCACGATCTTTCCTCAAAAGATATACTACCTAGATACTTCAATGAGGGATTAAACTTAATCTTACCCCCTCAAGAGTGTTTTTTTTTAATGTTCTTAATATTTGAAAACTTGTAACACAATTGCCTCATGATTCATCCAGCCAGAAATCACTACAATGACTGTTAAAAGTCACAAAACCCCTTTCATTTAGCATGACCCAGCCTTATTAAAAGCTTTGAAGATCAACAGTCTTAAGAGACCAATTATTTTAAGTCTAAAATATAACCTACGATAAACGAACAAGGTATCGCAAGTGAAGTTGCATTAAAAATCACTTGATATATGCTTTAGCTAGACTCCTACTGAATCTGGGGCAAACACAACATTGACCACAAATTACCTTAAGCATACAGCTCCACAAGTACAAGTGAGTAACTTTAATGGGACTCCCTCAGATATGCTGTGAATACCTAAGTTACAGCCCAACACCTTCTGAGCCAGTATGATGCAAATCCCCGTGCTCATTACAGCAGGGTCACCAGATGCAGAGATCAACACTTCCCCACAACGTGTAACTATTTCACCCTCTATTTGCCATTTCAGTACTAATAAAGAAGCTAGTGCTGTTCACCAAACAGCTCCTGGTGCTGGTAAAATCGCTAACAACTAAAAGAACATAGTCAGAGAAATATGTATCCTTTAAAATTATACTGACACTTTAACATAAAGTAAGTGTGGAAAAGTTCGTGGAAGAAACTGTGGAAAAATTATAAACTTCCACTATTGCATCCAGAAAGGCTAAGAAATAAAACAGACCCAAGTGGCATTACCCACCACTTCTGTGATAGCTTTTAAAGGGAAGGCCAAATAATTTTATTTTTTACTTCTTTAACTCTCTTAGGAATAAGAAGGTAACATACAAAACAACAAATATAAAACTGCCCACAGGCAGTAACTCCAATCCATTCTTCAGCAATTAACCATTTCATTAAGGCTGATGGGGGAGAATCTATCTAATCTGAAAGACCATCTCATATATATTTATGTTGGAATTCCTAGGACAACATAAACGTAGTTGTTCCATATCAGCAATTATTCCTGTCCTTTTCCCTCTACAAATCACAAGAGAGTGGCTCCTATTATTTACATTTTAGAATATGTCACTAATTAGCCTCAAACACCCAACCCTTGCAAACACTTATCTAGAAATCTTTACATTTACATGAAATGTAAGTTATTCTAATTGTATATTTAAATTAAATTACCCATTTCATAGGTACTATTCACAAGAACAAAGTCAAACTTGTAAATACAGCTGCTGGTTTGTAAATTTTTGTGGTACTCTAACTGTCACAGGCAAGATATTAATATGCTTGGGGTTTGTTTTTTTTTTTTAAAAAAAAAAACTTTACTTTTCATTATATACTGCTGAAATATGAAACTCTTGCTTCCTTCACGCTTCCATTTCAAAATGCAAAAACGACCTTGAGTTCACGCCACTCCTGAAGCACTCATACTTATTTTAATATCTGCATTAAAAATGTAACAGAAAGGTATGAACATTCTTCAAGTACTTCAGCAGTCAAGGCAAGAAAATATTTAGTTAAAAAAAAAGTGTCCAATTAAGTATTACATAAAATGATTAAACTAATAGAATTTTTAAGAAAGAATACGCAGTAGGTCCAGAAAAGAACACAGAGGAAGTCTATTTGATGATAAAAAGTCATACCAAGAAATACTATGAAATAACTCTTTAAGGTAGTTTTCAAAGAGCACAACAACCTACATACAAACAGAGAAGCCCCACAAGACTAAAATTTTATTTTGGGTGGTTTTGTTTTAAAAAAGT